ATTATGGCCAGAACTAAATATAAAGGAGTCGATCAGAAACAAATATAATGTCCCCAAACTGATTCCCGCGATACACCATTAATGTTATGGTCAGAACTAAATATAAAGGAGTCGATCAGAAACAAATATAATGTCTCCAAACTGATTCCCGCGATACACCATTAATATTATGATCAAAACTAAATATAAAAGAGTCGATCAGAAACAAATATAATGTCCCCAAACTGATTCCCGCGATACACCATTAATATTATGGTCAGAACTAAATATAAAGGAGTCGATCAGAAACAAATATAATGTCCCCAAACTGATTCCCGCGATACACCATTAATATTATGGTCAGAACTAAATATAAAGGAGTCGATCAGAAACAAATATAATGTCCCCAAACTGATTCCCGCGATATACCAGTGGAAATTATTTGTGATTAACTATATACATGAACTATTTTTAGTTACTATATATATTTAGCCCCCAGTGGCACAGCGGTATGTCTACGGGCTCACACCGCTAGAAACCGGGTTTCGATACCCGTGGTGGGCAGAGCACAGATAGCCCATTGTGTAGCTTTGTGCTTAATTTCAAACAACAACAACATTACTGGTTATTGTTGTACTCATGCAAAGCTACATAATGGGCTATTTGTACTCTGTCTACCGCGGGAAGTCAAGCCCTGAATTTTACTGTTGTAAGTCGTAAGCTTGCCACTGAACCATTGAACAGTAAGGAGGCTGTTGTGGTGCTTCTCATGGTAGCAATACAAGCACGTGCTCTTTATGGTGGCAAAACTTTCAGTTGTCCCTTAAAGAAGGCACGTCTACAAACGTTTTACATGGTAGCAATACTTTCACACATATTTATCTGGTAAAAATATGCTGGTAAACAGCTTTCTACTGGATTACGTTGGATTCTACACGGTTACGTGAAAATCTTTCTCAAAGTTAGTTACAAAACGCAGTATTTTTACGTGGTGAAAACTCTATGAGAGCGAGGTGTTCTTCGGCTTTAGCTGGTGGACCGTGGCATTTAGTAGTACATTATGTGACATCTTAGTTTATTGGGTAAACACTAGTTCAAGTATAATAGCATTTCAACTATACCTTATTTGTTGTATGTCGCAGCCGAGAAGGCCTTTCGCACAATACTAGATCTCGTCAGGCAGGTTGAACCATAGGTAACAAAAAATCATAGTTGAAACACTATTTAAAATAGTTAACGCCCAAGTTGGTGAAGCGTTACATTTCGTAATATTATGAATAATATTATGGTAAGAAGTGTATCAGTTACCGTCCATGGTAATATGGCCATCCGTTTATCTTTATGGTGAATATAATTATCAATTACTTCATATGGTAATAAGGATGTATATATTAATATTATTGGCGTTATATATATTACAATTAACGGTATTATATATTACTATTAATGGTATTATATATTACTATTTATGGCTTTGTAAACAACACTATTACTCATCATAGTGATAAGACTTATGATAACGAGGATATCTTTTACTCTTCATGACAGCAAGCCTATTCTCTTTATGATGATAAGACTATCAGTTATGTTACAACATTATACAACTATGATGTTATTAGTAGCAGAAGCTCTTATTGTGCTACACAATAACATTACTCTCATATTCCCCACACAGAAAGACTGTTATTATAGTCATGATAATGACAGTATCAAACATTCGTTCCAAATGTCACATAGAAGACTGTTATTATAGTCATGATAATGACAGTATCAAACATTCGTTCCAAATGTCACATAGAAGACTGTTATTATAGTCATGATAATGACAATATCAAACATTCGTTCCAAATGTCACATAGAAGACTGTTATTATAGTCATGATAATGACAGTATCAAACATCCAAATATCACATATAAGACTGTTATTATAGTCATGGTTACTCTTGGGCTACTCTTTTACCAACGTATAGTGGGATTGACCGTCACATTATAACGCCCCCACGGCTGAAAGGTGCGAGCATGTTTACTTCTAAAATGTTTTCACTTCTTTCTAATAATGTAATATCCAAAATGTACCATATTCGCTGAATTCACAACTCATAGTTACACATACATAGAAACATACATACATACACGCATTGTCTTTTACAAACAAAGCCCGAAATCTTTCAAACTTGCATTATCGCAGCGGTCGTCTCCAAGGCGACGGGTTTTTAATAAAGACGCGGCAGTATAGATAAGGAACGTTTTAAAGAACCGCTCGACCGCTAACAGCTACGAAATTATTTATGCTTCGCAAACGCCAGAGAAATGGGATGGTTTTTCTCATGAAAATATAAAAGCGAAGAAGATCGCCGCTCAGGAATAAATTGTCAACTGTATTTTTAAAAGAAAGCTGCACGCGGTAATTGGCTGTGCTTGGATTTTAATGTATTTTGCAACAGAAACAAAACACGTAGAGTGTCTGGTTATAAATATATATATGTATACGTGTGTGTGTATATGTGAGGTTTAATATTTTGGCGTACAGTTGTACGTTATATCGTGAGCCTAGACGGCTGGTAATAAGTAGAAACGCCAAGAAAGTGTATTAATCTTTAATGACGCCGAATTCTTTCATCATATCACTTGTATTACATTTTTCGACCCGCCGCTTTCTATGGTGCATGGAGTCCACGCCGTTACCATGGTTACAAACAACGCTCTTGATTACTTTGTGAAAGTGTGGTAAGGGATTCCCATAAACGTGGCAGTAATGAAAACGATAACCTGCTGATACGGAATGGAACTCCGAAGTCTTACTTACAAGCAGGCTCCGAAACGGAGCACCGGGCTCTTTCTAATCTCCTGTTTACCTTCTGCCTGCTCATGGCAAGTAAATTCCCCAAGCCTGTTTTGTAACGTACTTGATACGGACTAGTTGTTAGCCAGCACCGGTGTCTCTCGATTTTTTTATCTAGTGTTGACTTTCAATGAGTTTAGTAATTCCGCCCAGTGATCCTCAGTAGAAACGTGACGGCTGAAGAACATTCAAGTCAAAAAAAAAAAAAAAATATTTCAGACCCAGACCGTATTGAATCTTTCATCTCGTCGTGCGGTAGAGAAGACGAGCCACCAGTCGGATGTGAGCTCGTAGGAAAAACAGTTCTATCTGGCGCTTGTTGGCTCTCCGCTAGCCAGGCTCTTAGTGACCCGAATACTACTTAACCGCTGGTCGAAGCTCTTCTTAAACATCGTGACACGGTCGTTTGATTACAGTCTCGCTCACTCCACCAGCGTAGAAATGACGAGAGTGCTCTGGATTCTCTGGATTCTTACAGTCGCAGGTAGGGGTTTTGTGATTTCAGTTTTTACCTACCCGAAGCTCAAACTCTGAAAGGCAACTAGATTATTACGCTTACTTTCAAAGCAAGAGGGTCCGTAAATTTCTTTAAGTATTGAACTTTTAATCATGTTCAAGTACCTTAAATGCTTAGATATATTTGAAATGAAAAACTAAGCAAATAGACAGTTAAATAGCCGAAAACCATGAATATAAAAACTAATTGCTTATAAATTTTTGTTTGACGTGCTCTCGAACTGTTGTAAGGTAAACAAATTTAAGCATATATATATATATATGTGTGTGTGTGTGTGCGCGCGCGCGCTTATATAAATTATTTTATCTGTATTTTATCAAAGCTTATATGAAGTACTATTGCATGAAATAGAAATATTTCTTCGTGTTTTTATAAAATTATTTTCTAAGTGAGAACAATAACAGTACGTGTTTTATCTTTAGAGTAACCATCTTTCTTGAGCATTTTTATTTTGTTCACGTAGAAAAGTTAGGCTTAACAGTTTACTGCATTTTTTTCTATCTTCTATTTAAAGTCATTCTGAGATTAATATTTAGATAGGATTTTTCAATATACATATATATATATTCTATTTCTACAAAAACAAATGATGTACTGATTTCATATATCGCAGTAAAGAGCCTGGTTGATTTAATGTCAGTTAATTCAGTGTGTGTGTTTTTCTAACATCAGTTAACTTCGGCGTATGCATTATTATTGTATCAGTGAACAATGGGATATGTATTGTTGTAATGTCCGTTAACTTCAGGGCATGTATTGTTCTAATGTTCGTTAACTCCAAGATATGTGTTATTCTAATGTCTGCTTATTCTAGGGTTTGTGTTGTTCTAGAACAACCCAGATCCTATAGTTAATGGACATTAGAATAACACACATGCTCTGGAGTTAACAGACACTAGAACAACACAGATCCTATAGTTAATGGACATTAGAATAACACACATGCTCTGGAGTTAACGGACACTAGAACAACACAGATCCTATAGTTAATGGACATTAGAATAACACACATGCCTAGTGTTAACGGACACTAGAACAACACAGATCCTATAGTTAATGGACATTAGAATAACACACATGCTCTGGAGTTAACGGAAATTAGCATGCCTAGTGTTAACGGACACTAGAACAACACAGATCCTATAGTTAATGGACATTGAAAACTCTTAGGGAACCTAAACTATTCTAATATTAGTCTATTGAAAGCATGTACTAGTTGGCCAGAAGACAACTGCAAGGATGTACTGATTTAATATAAAATGAAGGTAAGGATGTATTAACTAAACGCCAGGAATTTGTATGAGACGACTGAATTAGCGTAAGAAAAGTGCAGGGTATATATTATATTAATTTCAAGCTAATGTAGGGTATGTATCGATTTAATTTAAAGCAAATGCAGGAGATGTGTTGAGTTTGTGTCAAGAAACTTCAGAGGAAGTATTAATTTAAAGTTAGGTAACTTCAGAAGACTTTTTAATTTAACATCAGACAACAGCGAAGGATATATCACTTATCCTGGTATGCATTCCTTCAAGATCAGATAACTATAGGGTACATTAAATCAAGTAACTTTAGGGCAAGGGTTCTTATCCTGAAACCACATGGTATGTATTCTTCCAAGATCAGGTAACTTCAGGGTACATTAAATCAAGTAACTTTAGGTCAAGGCTTCTTATCCTGAAACCACATGGTATGTATTCTTCCAAGATCAGGTAACCTCAGGGTACATTAAATCAAGTAACTTTAGGTCAAGGCTTCTTATCCTGAAACCACATGGTATGTATTCCTCCAAGATCAGGTAAC